CAGCTATGCAGGCTGGTCTTACAAAGCCTCCCCACAGCCTTGAAATCCAGGCTGCACATTCTCTCCCAAAGCACATATCCCATTTTTCCTAATTAATATTGGCTTTTTCCCCAAATTGCCATCTCTGTGTCTGCTTGAACTTTGTCCGCCAGAGAGGATCCCGTTTGCAAATCTGCAAAAGTTACTCTTGTGAGTTGGAGTGCAGGAATCTGCCTCAAGCATAGGTACTCTACACTTGCAGGGATGGTTCTGTGGCAGGGCTGCAGTCCAACAAAACATCTTACAGTGTTCCTCTCTCTCTCTCTTCCCCTCCCTTTCCTCCTGTCCCTCCCTCCATCATCTGCTTGCTTTCAGGATTATTGAGTACTTTAATTCTAAGAAACTGTTACCTACAGTGAAAAGAAGTGAACTCTGGAGAAAAAGAACAAGTCCTTGTATTTCAAAACCAGGCTCTAAATCTTTTCTCCTAACCTGCCTCAGCATGAACACTTGGCGCTTCTTTCCCTGGGGGCAACCGGCCATCACACAGTTGAAGTCTGAGTCCTTCCTGGGGGCCAGGCGGGCCAGACCAGGCATCTGAGTCCACATGTCTGGTGCTCACTTAGCCCTTTGTTGGGGAGCTGCCCCCACATTTTTGCACTCAGTTCTAACAAAGGCGAAACAAAGGCACATTTTTTCCTCTCAGCCTTTTTCTTCCCTGCCCTGGGACCATGATGGTGGGATGACTAATGTCTTTGTCATTCTTTCCCACCCCATGTGATCTGCCCAGAGCAGGAGAGGGAGCTATCAAGTGCCCCTAACAGGCAACAAGGCCCAAGAAGGCCAAACTGGTCAAGGAAGAGGAAAGTGAAAGAGAACTCCAGGCTTTCTTCTCGTTCTAGTTCTCCCCGAAATGAAGATGCCAAAAGTGGGTTCCTTTCCCTTTTATGTGGATTCTTTGGTTGCAAAGGCCTTGGAGGCAAGCATAGGTACTCCCCACCCAGTTCTCACCCACTCCCCCCCCCCCCCCGTGTCCCCTGGCTCCCGTCTGCCCAGGGAATGCTGTGGCACAAAGAACTGTTCCATCTGGGAGAACCTTGACTTCTTGAAATAAAACCATAACTTGAGAGGCATCCAGAGGAAAGACTAACCCAATGCTCAAGCCTTAGTGCGTGCATGGCAGGGACTAATTATTAGCATTTTTGTTGGTGGGGGTGCCCGGTTGACATGTGAAGCCTTGAGAAATCTATCAGCACTTTCCTCTGCCTGTCACACAGGGAAGCGCCTGAGAGAGTGATTGCCCTTGGTAGGGGAAATTAGTCGTAGGCCTTCCTCAGGCTTTTCGGCCCATCACCTTTCCCTTGCAGGAAAAAAAAAATTTTTTTTTAGGAGCAAACAATGAAGTAAATTGGAAAATAAAGGGAGGTAAGGAAGCAAAAATAGCTAAGAGGACAAAGAACCTCCGGCTCTGGGCATATCTCTTTGATTCCACTGTTCTTCCTGCATTAACATACGCCTCAGAGACCTGGGCCCTATGAAAATAGGATGAGAACACTATTCGGGTCTCCCAAAGAGGAATCAATAGAGCTATGCTTGGAGTAACCCGCTTCACTTAAATGAGAGAAAGAATCTGGAGTTCCGACCTCCATCGATGATCAAGATTCAGGGATGCTATCTTGTTTGCCAAGGCGTTGAAAATCAGATGGGCTGGGCACGTAATGAGATTTGGAGACAACCGCTGGACTAGGAGCCATTACTGACTGGATTCCACAGGACATCAAAAGATCGCATGGCCACCCACCTACAAGATCGTCAGACTTCTTCGTCAAGATGCTGAATGATTGGTTTGAGGCTCTTCATGTTCCTAGAATGAGCAGATGCCATTGGGCTACACTAGCACGTGACAGGGACAAATGGAGACGTTACTGGTGCCCGCTTGAGCAAATCGATGAGTAATGGGATGTTAAGTGATCAAGGAATGTTTATTGGAGTAAAGGGAGGCAAGGAGAGTTCATGCTCAAGAGAGGACAGATGCTTCTCTAGAGGGGAGAGAGCCTGGAATGCGTGTCTCTGGTGGGGGAAAGGGGGGACACGAACAGGCAGCCTGGCAACCCTGCGCACCCTCCCTTTGTCCAAGTCCTTCTTCTGAGCTCTCTGACTGCCCCACTCCACAAGGCAGAGCCTGTTGCTAGAGTGGTTGTGAAGGGCTAAGAATGTGAAACTTGCAAATAATAGTACTGCAGGTCCCATACAGCCTGGCCTTCCTGCCTTGCATGCGGCTGACCTAAGCTCAATCCCTGGCACCCGGCGTGACCTCTGAGCACAGAGTCAGGAGGAACCCCTGAGTACCACTGGGGATGGCCCAAAAACCAAAAATGACAAAAAGAAACTTTTAAAGATTTTCCTTTGATTGTCTTCACCAGGCGTTTGTTCCTGCAGGAGCGGCTTTCCGGAGGGGCTCCAAACCTCTGAGTCTGTGCTGGCACCAGTGTTCTTGGGGTTCTGGCAGCCGCAGGACTAGCTGGTTTTATTTCTTCCAACTAAAACTTATTGCCATGGTGAGGTGTTGGCGGCGTGGTTTCCCTGCCTGCCTGCCCGTGTCAGTATGCAAGATGCAAAAGGCAGTTTCTTATTGTTATGATCATTTCCATGTCTCCTTCAAAGTTTCCTCATAAAAACCCAAGGCTTCCTATTTTCAAGAGCTGGCTAAGATAATAAAGGAAGGAGGAAATCTCTTGATAAATATATGAAAATTGATAAATTCAGGAAGAAAGAATACAATTAAGACCTATTTTTAAAAGTTTTAGAGTTGGGGTAAAATTAAGAAGTGGGAGTTTGATCCCAGCACCACATATGGGTCCCTGAGCACCTCAAGGAGTGATCTCCGAGTGCGGAGCTTAGAGTCAGCTTGAGCACTTCTGGGTGTGGCAAAAATACTTTTTTTTTTTTTGCTTTTTGAGTCACACCTGGCCATGTACAGGGTGACTGACTCTGCACTCAGGAATTATCCCTGGCGGTGCTCAGGGGACCATATGGGATGCTGGGAATCGAACCAGGGTCAGCCGCATGCAAGGCAGACGCCCTACCCGCTGTGCTATTGCTCCAGCCCCCAAAAATACTTTTTTAAAGGGGGAATTTTAGAACTGGGGAAAGTTTCAAGACAGGGAGAAATTGAGGGAAGCTGAGAAGAACCCTGGGGTTAGGAGCCTCTCCTGGCTGCCTGCAAATTCCTGCTGAACCTGCCTGAGAAGTGACCTGGGACCAGCCTCCCCCAGGAAGGTGCCTCCTGCAGACTCCATGGAACAAAGGCTCTTTCTGTTGCCCTCCTAGAGGGGGTCACCTAAGCTGTCTCCTCTCTCCTCCCTGCCCCCCCCCTTGCTTTTCCCTTGGAGGCCTGTCCCCCAGGGACTGAGAGGAGTCAGGCAGGAAGTGTTTCCCACCCCCTACTCCCACTACCTGTAATTTTCCTGCTGGCTCTGAAGTGAGATTGTGGCTTAGTTCCAGAAGGAGAGTTCTTTGCAAAGAAACAAAAGGAGCCAGAGTCAGCCAAGGATTGCTGTTCTGGAAGCCTCTGAGGAAGCAGTGCCTTAGGATTCTTGGGCTAAGTGGGAGTGGAGGCGGGGGACCAAACGTTGTTGTGACTGAGGGGAAATGAGTCAAGGGAAGAAATACCCCTACTTCATTCTGATGGACAAAGGAGTGAGCAGACTTGCCAAGCCGCAAAATAGCACCCGACCAACTAACCTACTTTCAACTGCAGAGGTCCAAGCTGGCCTTTGGGGAGGTACGTGGAAAGTAGGAATTTGGGGTCTGGGAAGATTGTAATCTAATGACCAAAAACCTGATATCTCTAACCCCTTCCCCAGCCCCCTACTGCCACCCCAGGCTACACGTCACTGGGCCTGTCTCTGGGCGGTGAGAAGGGGCTGCGAGCCTTCCCTGGGAGAGATGTGGAGACCCTGCCTGAGGAGCCAAGCGAGGAAGAGGTGCTGGCTCTGGTTTGGCAGGCAAGAAAATCCCTGCGGTTTTCTCTGGAAAAGTCGGTGCTCCAGCTGGCCTCCCAGGGCAGGAAGTTGCCAGAGAGCCAGGCCAGGTTCTGCGGTCACCAGGCTGCCCTCATCCTTCAGCCCACAGAAACCTCTGGGCACCACCAGTGTCCATTACAGATGAAGGGATTAATAGCATGTGGTCCCTCCAGACCAGGGACTTTTATTTAGCCTTAAAAAGGAAGGACATTCTGGACTGGGGTGATAGCTCAAAGGGGTGGGGGCTCTGAATTCAGTCCCTGGTATCACCTGCCTCTCTGAGCACTGCCGAGTATAGCCTTGGTGGCTCCTGAGCACTGCCAGGCTGGGACCCCTGGGTTCATGAGCACTGCTCCGGAGCCTCACCCTAGAAGGAGTAGTGTTCTGACATGGTTGATGTGGATAAACCTTGAGAATGTTACACTCAGTGAAACAAGCCAGTCGCAAAAGGCACCTCTGGTTTTGTTGGGTACCTAGTACAGTAAAACTTCAGGAGACAGTCGAGTGGTGTCATCAGCCAAGCGAAGAGTTAGTGTTTTGTGGGTGCAATGAGAGTTTAGTTTCTCCAGTTGAAGAGTCCTGGGATGGATGGGGGAAAGCCACTGGAGCAATGAAGGGAGCTGATGAAGTGTCCACTCTGAAATAGTGCAGACGGGACTCAAGTAGTGGTACAGTGGGGAGGGTGCTTGCCTTGCATGCAGCCCACTCAGGTTCCATCTCTGGTTCCGCTATGGTCCCCCAAGTCAGCCAGTGAACCCACAGAGCCAGGAGTAAGCCCTGAGTGCACCAACAATAACAACAAATGGTGACGATGATAGCTGTTTATGTTGTGAGTACTTGCCACAGTGAAAGCTGGCTACAAGGAAGGAGTAGGTTTCTGAGGTGCATCCTTCAGTGGAGCCGAGGAGGGAGGGCTCCGGCCTCGCGTGAAAGTCCCCGACAGCTCCCCTCTGACCGCACATCGCCTAGACTAAGCTCCGCCTCCTCTTTCTCCAGAGCAGCGCTGAGAAGATGCAGCAGCCGGTGAGAGAGCTGTGGTGTGTGCTGCTGGTCTGCGCAGTGGGCTTCCCCCGGGCCAGCCAGGTGAGTGTGGAGCACATTCCTGATGGGGAGGATGGGAGAGAAGGCCAGAGGGACGAAAGGCCACCGGACCCGCGTTCCCCGCGCCGAGGAGACCTGAGCGCCCACTCCCCTGTGACTGCTGTCGTCTCCACGGCTGATGTTAAAGAGGGTTTGGAATGAATTCCCCAAAGCAATGCCAAAGACAGTGTCTTGCTGTGAGCCAGGAAGAATGGCCAACTCCCGCAGCTCACCTACTCTCCAGTCGTTTTTCGGGAAGGCCCACGGCACAGAGCAGCCCAGTGGAAGGAGCAGCAGCTGAGCTGTGACTTTAGAGACAGACTCAGAGGCTCCAACTCCACCAGGCAGCACTGACTGCATGTGGCTATTCACATTCAAACTTACATAATGTTTACCATTCAGCACATACTGTAGCCTTAGGGATGGAGCAATAGCACAGTGGGTAGGGCTTACACGCAGCTAACATGGCCAACACGAGTTCGCTTCCTCTGCCCCTCTCAGAGAGCCCAGCAAGCTACCGAGAGTATCTCGCCCGCACGGCAAAGCCTGGCAAGTTACCCCTGACGTATTCGATATGCCAAACACAGTAAAAGTCTCACAATGCTACTGGGCCCGCTGGAGCAAATCGATGAACAATAGGGTGACAGTGACAGTGACTCCAGCCTTACTGTCCCGATAAAAATACTGAAAGCCCTGAACAAACACTATGACCACTTAGCACCTGTATTGCAAACCATAATGCACAAAAGGCAAAGGAGAGAGAGAACAAGCAAAAGTGTCTCCCATAGAGGGAGGCTGCGGGTGGAGGGTGGAGGGTTGGAGTAGAGGGGTGAGGGATGGTGGTGGGGAAACGGGGGGATGTTGATGGTGGGAAATGTACACTGGTGGAGGTATGGGTGCTGAATCATTGTATGACTGAGACCCAATTATAAACATCTTTGTAATAGTCTGTCTCACGGATATTCAATTGAAAAAAAAGTAATGTGGAGTTCATGCCCAATTTAATGAACTTAACCAATGGCTGAATAAATAGCAGTACACCTACATTTAAGGTAAAGGTAAAGTAAAGGCCCTCCCGTTGATCGTCGATTTGCTCGAGCGGGCCCAGTAACGTCTCCATTGGAGACTTTGTTGTTACTGTGTCTGGCATATCGAATACTCTCGGTAGCTTGCCGGGCTCTCCGAGAGGGGCGGAGGAATCAAACTCGGGTCAGCCATGTTGGCCGCTTGTAAGGCAGACGCCCTACCCGCTGTGCTATCGCTCCAGCCCTTTAGGGAAATCCTTTAGGATAGCACAGCGGGTAGGGCGTCTGCCTTGCACGCAGCCAACACCTACATTTAAAAAAATAAAATAAAATAAAATTCAGCTCAGCTAGAACAGTTAGATCTCAACTGCTCAGTAGGGCCAGGTGTGACTAATGACCACCATATTGGATATCTATTGTTCACCATTTTATCAGCATTGTTATCAACATTTTATCATTTTTATCAGCATTTTTCATATTCGGAGAGCTGATTTGCATAGCACTCATCTAGAAGGGAGGTAGGCACAGTCAAGAAGGAGGAACTGGATGTTCTACCCAGGCGCAGTGACCTGTGGGGCGGCTGGCTGGAGGCTGACTGGAGACTGACTGACTGACTGACTGACTAGCAGCTATTGGCTGGTCTTTGGGCTGAGCCACTTTTAGTTTTAAGACTCACAGCATGTGCTGATCCTCCGTTCATATCTGATTTCTTTACAGGAGGTCACCATACGATTCAGCAGAGGAGCCAGATCTTACAGAGGTATGATGAGCCTGAGGTGAAGAGCGGCTGGGGTTGTTGGCTCTCAGGGGTCTCTGCTAACATATTTCCTGGGGTAGGTGGTGCCTGGGCTGGGCTCTACTCCCCCCAGGTATCTTGAGCCGGTGAGCCAGCTGTCAGGACAGGGCTATGTGCTCCCTGATGAGGGAACCCCAAAGTCAGAGAGGCCTGTTAGCTCCATGTCCCAGGGATATAGCAGTGACAAAGTAGAGCCCAGGAAGGCAGAGCACCTTGTTGAGGGCACCTCCAGGCCATGGCTGCCTGGGGTCTCAGGCTCCTCCTGACCACTCAACACCTTCGTTAACTGCAGCTCTCTGCCTGCATGATTTTTAGTTGGCAAAACTGAGTCATGGCTATGGGGTGGGAAAACTTTCTCTTTGTAAGACGTGTATAGGGTTCATTCTAAAATCTGAAGGGATGGTGTCTTCCCCTCTGGAGATGCCTGTGTTCTCTTGAACAGGTAGTGTTCTCTCTCTTTCCTCTCTCTCTCTCTCTCTCTCTCTAATTCCTTCTGTAAAAACTATTCTGAAAAATAAATACCTGAGGGATATTTCTATTAAGATAACAAGAATTTAAAAACTGCTCCTGTGGGCTGGAGATAGTACAGGGGTTAAAGTGTTTGCCTGACTGTGGAGCCAGGAGTAAGCTCTGAGCACCTCTGGGTGTGATCCAAAAAGCAAACAAGAAAAGGAAATAGGGGGCACAAGGTTGACCTAGCTTTGATGCCTAGCACCCAATATGGTGTCCAAACCCTGTTAGGAGTGATCCTTAAGCAAAAAGGCAGGAATAAGCCCTGAGCACCTGTGGTGTGTCACAATCACAAAATCACAAATCATCCTGTTATTCGTCGATTGCCTCGAGCAGGCCCCAGTAACGTCTCCTTCATCCTAGCCCTGAGATTATATTCAAGGCTCTTTAGGAGAATGAGACCCATCATTTGTTACTGGTATTTGGCATATTGGGTACGCCACGGGGAGTTTGCCAGACTCTGCCGTGTGGGCAGGCTACATTCGGTAGCCTGTCAGTTTGTCCAAAGTAGGAATGAGATAATAAGATGTTATAATAAGATGTTGCACAGCCGCGAATGCGGCCGCGCGGTTCCGGGAGCTGGTTTTTATAGTCTCTGAGTCTTGGCCGTTGATGGGATTACACGGTGCCAGGGGGCCAGTTGGTGGGTGTGACCCCCGCCTACTAGAATTTGGAGGATCTGGGTGGAGGATGCTCGGCCCAAATCCGAGTAGGCTTGGAGATCTCAGCCCCAGAATCCGCGTGACTTTGTCCCTCTGCCAGCACCTTCATGTGTGTGGAGAGTGGTCTCAGCATGGTGGTGGCTGGTCCTGGAGGTCTTTGGCTGCCGGAGCCCTGGTCAGGGTGGGGAGGAAAGCTCGACCCGCTCCCCTCCAAGGGCCCCCGGCGAGGACAGCCAGGCTCGGGGGCAGGAGACTGCACTGTTCTCTTCCGGGAGCTGGTTTTTATAGTCTCTGAGTCTTGGCCGTTGATGGAATTACACAGTGGTGTGTAAAATAAAAAGAAAGAAAGGGGTTTGAGAGATAGTATAGCAGGTAGGGTGTTTGCCTTCCACACCACAGACCCGGGTATTGAACAATCACCCTACCATATGGCATCCCATATGGTCTCCTGTGCTCACCAGGAGCGATCACTGACCATAGAGCCAGGAGTAAGTCCTGAGCACTATAGGGTGTGACCCCCTCCAAAAAAGAAAAAAGAGAGAGAGAGAGAGAAGGAAGGAGGAAGGGAGGGAGAGAGGGAGAAAGAGAGGGAGAAAGAAAGAATGAAAGAAAGAGAAAGAGAAACAGAAAGAACGAAAGAAAGAGAGAAATCGAGACAGAAAGGATGAAAGAAAGAAAGAAAGAAAGAAAGAAAGAAAGAAAGGAAGGAAGGAAGGAAGGAAGGAAGGAAGGAGAAAAGGAGGGAGGAGGAGAAGAAGGGAGGAGGGGAAGGAGGGGAAGGAGGGAGGAGGAGGGAGGGCTTAGGGAAGGTAGAGAAAGAGAGAGAGAGAGAGAGAGAGAGAGAGAGAGAGAGAGAGAATGAATGCTCATAACTTGAGTTACCTTAAATTCTACATCCAGCTTCAGTCCCAGAGCATCCCAGAGCCTGCTCTCTCCTCTCCTTCCTAGCACTTTGGGTCTGGAGGGTTTTGCCATGCCCCCTTTGAAGTGTAAGCTTCCCCAGAGTGACACAAAGGACTTGTAGCTTAGTTCCCTGGAAGGATGGCCTGGCCCCGCTGTCCCTCAGGGCAGGAACAGTACATGCTTTACTCTGAGCAGAGATCAGTTCTTTAGTGGTAGGTTTTTAAGTTGAGATTCTGGTTTGCAGACAGAAAAATATTTAATGTGAGCACCTCAGCTATTTTAGCATGCTAAAAGTACAAGTGAAAACTGTATGTTTTCTGCTACTTTCATGGCCCAGCATGTCCATTTTCACGGGGTTCGAAATGCATTGCTTAAGGGCGATAATACTTTGTGAGTCAAAATCAGTAGGCGCTTGTATACATGGATAGTCTTTAGGTGAATTAAAGTCAAACATTCGAAGATTCTAAATGTGGACCCCCTCCAAAAAAGAAAAGAGAGAGAGAGAGAGAGAGAGAGAGAGAGAGAGAGAGAGAGAGAATGAATGCTCATAACTTGAGTTACCTTAAATTCTACATCCAGCTTCAGTCCCAGAGCATCCCAGAGCCCTGCTCTAATTCTATCTTACCAGAGGCCAGCAGGTAAGATATGACCCCTATAAAATAAATCAATAAAAGGAAAACTTGGTAACAAAATGAAGCATTTGTTGTCTTCTAGCTGAAAGCAAGGAATGAATCAGGATGGGCTTTCCGAGGGATTTCCTCCCAAAGCCAGTGGGGGGTCGGTGATGAGATGCTGTGCCATGAGTGAGAGGGTTTCCCTTACAGCTGTCTGCAGGGATGAGACGACACAGATGACTTACCAACAGCATCAGTCCTGGCTGCGCCCCATGATCAGATACGACCGGGTCGAATACTGTCGCTGCAGCTGGAACGGGCTTCAGTGCCACTCGGTGCCCATCAAAGGTACAAAGGCTGAGTGGAGAGAGAACACAGAGGACTGGAGTGCACATTGGGGTGGAGGACTCTGAGGTGTGATCCCTGGCAGCAGATGGTCCCCCAGCATTTCCAGGAGCCGCCTCTAGGCACCAAATAGGGTGTAGCTCCAAAGCAAAACCCAAACCAAATCAGAACCAAAAGGAATGCAGAGTGGCAAGGGCAGGGGTTCGAGCAGAGGGCCCGGTGCCATGTACTCCTTCCCAGTCTCATTCAAGGCTTCACTTCCGAGCACGTGTTATTTGAGCATAGGAGAAGGTGTTGAGCAGAGGGAGGAAGACTCGGGGGCACGAAGCAGAGCCTGCACTTGCTGAGATGGTTTCCTTGTCTGTAACAACAGATTAATAACGGTGCCTACCCCCTGATTTGCTGTGTTAGCAGATACTTTTCATGGACGAGAGATTAATGTTAGGCATGCATGAGCACACCTCAGATTGAAGCTCACAGGATTTTGAGAGTCACTCTGAAGTATTTTAGCTGCTTGCTTATTTACATGTGACAGGCTGCAGTGAACCCAGGTGCTTCAATGGAGGGACGTGTTGGCAGCCTCTGTATTTCTCGGATTTCGTCTGCCAGTGCCCTAACGGATTTGCTGGGAAATACTGCGAAGTAGGTGAGTGGTGGATGATGGGTGTGAGGAGAGCAGGATGGAAATACCAACCTGGAAAGCCAATGGTCAGGACAAGAAGTGTGTATTTGTAAAGGGGAGGTTGCCGGTGGGGAGAGAGACGGCTCGTCCAAGGTTGGAATAGGAAGCCGGAGTCGGGTGCAGTGGTCAGAATTTTGGTGTGAGTCTGGATCTGGTTGTAACATAAGTTGGCCAAGGGCCTCCTGTGGCCTCGGCAGCAGGCCTGCCTTGGTGGTGATGGGCACTGATGGAGGGAGGTGTGAGATGCCGGGGAAAACAAGTGAAAGCAGGGTTCACCCTGTACGAGGTCATTTGTATTCCTTTCAGATACAAGAGTCACGTGCTACAGAGACAAGGGTATCACCTACAGGGGCACATGGAGCACAGCAGACAGTGGGGCCGAGTGTATCAACTGGAACAGCAGTGTGCTGAGCGGAAAGTGGTACACCGGGCGGAGGCCGGATGCCATCAAGCTGGGTCTGGGGAATCACAACTACTGCAGGTGAGGGGGAAAGGCATCATCAGAGAGGTAGAAGCCATCGGCATAGACATAGTAGGTGGACGAGTTGATTGTGTCGCCTGGGTTCAATCCTCAGCACCCACGGTGATCCTTCACTAGGAATGGTCCCTGAGTACAGAACAGGAATAATCCCAGGTGTGCTCCTGCCCTCATCCTCGCCCTCCACCTCCCCAAAAGACATAGAGACTCATTATAAGGATTTGGCTCACGGGATGGTGGGGCTGGCAACTCTGAAATTCATACACAAACCAGCAAGCTAGGAGCTCAGGCAGGAGTTGAGACACAGTGCAAACCAGAGCTGATGTTGGAGGTTAGTTTTGGGTTTAGTGCCTTCCTTTTCTCTGTTGTCGCCCCCGTGGGGGTTGCACATGGTGTGGTGGTGCTTGCACTCTTGGTGTTTGCTCTAGAGATCACAGAGTTGATTGTGGTACCAGTGGGACTGCACTCGCATAAGTGTTGGTGCTGGGTTGGACCTTGAGTCAGGAGCGCTACCTCTTGCTGGTGCAGTTTGGAGGCAGAATTTCTACTTAGCTTCTGCCTTTTCCCCCTCTCATTTCTGGGCCACACCTGATGGTGCTCAGGGCTTACTCCTGCCTCTTTGCTCAGAGAACACACCTGGGCGTTCCCAGAGGACCTTATGTGGTACCTGGCTTTGAATCGTGATCTACCACACATATGGCAAATGCTTTTATCCCTATCTGATCCCTCCAGCCCCCTCCACTCATGCTCTTAAGGTCTCACTAACTGGGTGAGACCCACTCACATTTTCAAGGAAATGAAAGGTGACTGCCAGGAGGTGTGAAACGCATTCACCAAATCCCTTCGCACATCTGAGTCAGCATGTGGTTAGATTGCTGGGCCTGCTGCTCTAGCTGAGTTGACCCATAAAACTGATTATCACAGTCAGCTTATCAATTTCTCCTCGCTCTTCTTAAACCATACTGAATCAAGAGATCAATACAACTCGGCATATTTTCACCTACAATTTTCCACTGTGCAACTGAAATCTCACTGGGTATCTTCCGCGGACAAGTCAAAGTTCTTGGATCTAAAAGGGGAGGCTTAGCTCTTCATCCCTCAGCCTCCCTTGCTGCTTTTTCTTTTCCAGAAACCCAGACAAAGACAGAAAGCCGTGGTGCTATGTCTTCAAGCAAGGGACGTACACTCCCGAGTTCTGCAGCATCCCTGTCTGCTCTGCAGGTGAGTGAAGAGACACCCTGGGCTGCCTCTGGAGGCAGGGTTCAGGAGGATGAGGTCCACACTTCCCCACAGCTGAGTTGGCGGAGGAGTAGCGGATAGGCATTTTGGTTATCAAAATAAAAAAATGAGGGATTGGAGTGATAGTACAGTGAGTAGCATAACTGCCTTGAATGCCATCACCCTGTGTTTCATCTCTGGCAGTCCTTATGTTCCGTGGGTCCCACTAGGAGTGATTCCTGAGCACAGAGCCAGGAGTAAGCCATGAGCACTGCCAAGTGTGGCCCAAAAAACAAACAAACAAAAGTGAAATTCCTTACCCAGCCTTTAGTTGAACTCTTTACTTCCCTATTTCCAACGTTTCTAGAAGATGAGACTGGACCAGTCATTTCTAGTCATTTTTTGAATAAATACTGATTTTTATCCTCCTCTCTTAAACTTTTCCATATCTAGAAAAATCTATAGAAAACTATGATGAACTTGGTGACTCTTGCAAATAATTTTGTTATCACAATAGTAAGGAAGATATGTTTTAAAATACTAAGTTATACAGATAAAATTCACATGCATTCAGGCTCATATACCTGTGCAACTGTGGACTCTATACCCGTCCTACAGGAACTGGTCTAAATTGGGACTCACTAAGGCATCATCTTAAAAATCACCTCTAAGCTGCTATCTAGGCAGAAGGGTATACATGCCGCTTCCAGATGGGAGAGGAGAGGGAGAAATGGGGCAGCTAAGAGCAGGCATCCACTTGAAGGCTCATACTCACTCCCTTCCCAAGCTCCACAACCCTCAGAGCACAGGCAGAGCACATCTGAGGCTGGGTATCCTGAGGTGTACCTGCACCACCAAAGCCCCTCATTCCCAAGGACTTCCTGATTGCTTTGAAAGCAGCTCCAGGAATAATCATAGCTAATGAGCAGAGCCCAGTTTCCTGCCGGGCCTGTGTGTTCTGAGAATCTCTCTCAAGCAACACAGCAGCGGGTGAAAGCCCTGTGTCATCTTTATGTGAAGGGCTGACAGGAGAGAAACGGGGGAGAGGGGAGGTATCATTTCTCCCAAAGAGGCTGGCCACCTTCAATTTAAGCTTTGCAGATTTACTTCTGGCTTCCTAACAAAGCCCGGTTCATTTTTTTTTTTTTTTGCACTAAATTAGTTTTGTGTCAGGTTGAGATTTCTTTTGTTCCAGAAAACAATGAGGACTGCTACTCCCAGACTGGAGTAACATACCGTGGTACCCATAGCCAAACAATGACTGGGGCCTCCTGCCTCCCGTGGAACTCCAGGATTCTGGTGGACAAGAAGTACACAGCGTGGAGTGCCAACAGCCAAGCCCTGGGTCTGGGCAAACACAATTACTGTCGGTGTGTAGCAGAGGTGGGAGGGGTGTGCCGGGCAGAGGGTATTTTGGTCATAGAAGGATCAGGGCATGAGACGGGAGATTTGATGCCTACAGAAGACCCAGTATGGTGGGAACAAGCCATGGATATTGTCTGGTCAGAACTGGCTCTGGCTAGTCAGATTCCTATTGTGGAAGGAAGATGCACGTTCTCCACTAGAAACCCATTAGAGTTGTTGTCCCGTGGCCAACCCAGCACTCAGGATGCCCATCACAGGTGCCTTGTTTCAAAGGATGTCAGAGTCTCTTCACAGAGCTCACAGTTCCTCACAGCAACCTGTGATGTGAGCTGTGAATGTTATCTGTTAATAGAAAAACAGTCACAGTTATTTTCCAAGCTGGGGCTGGACAGAGCTGAACCTAGCATTCAGGGGCCCCATTACACATTCCCTGTGTTTGCCTTTGGTTCACTGAACTTCTTCCCACTCTTCCTGGGCCCAACATGTGATTTTAAAATGTTATTGAAGGAGCTGGAGGATAGTACAGAGGGTAGGGCACTTGCTGTGCATGTAGCTGACTGGGTTCAATTCCTGACACTCCATCTGGTCCCCTGAGCATCGTCGGGTGTGACCCCTGAGGGCGCAGTCAGGAGTCAACCCTTTATGCAGTCAGGTATAGTCTAAAAAACAATTTTTTAAAAAAAAAAGTGATTGAAAACTTTTGCTCCCTTTTCCTTTAGAAATCCAGATGGAGATACCCAGCCTTGGTGTCATGTGCTGAAGGACAGAAAGCTGACCTGGGAATACTGTGATGTGCCCCGGTGCTGTAAGCACACCCCCCTGGCCTGCCCCTGTCCCTTCTCTCTCTCTGAAGCTTGACTTTCCTTCTGAACCATTTACTCTACAGCTTTCTGGATGATAACACAGGGATGCCAGGGTGTACTACCAGCGGCTCACTCTGCACGTGGGTTAATCAACAGTTTGCAGTGCCAGTGTCAGTGTGCTGTAGTTAAAGGGCGTCATTGTTAGTGTTTTACCAGCCATAAAGCCTGCCCGGGTTCACTGGGCTCTATGTGATAGGTCTGAGGTTTGATCCCATTATTGTAGGTGACTTATGGGAAGTGTCAAGAAATGAGGTGGCAGCCTCAAGAGGGGAGTCTGCTCTCTGCTCACCACTGTCACAGGGGGAAGTGCCTGGAAAAGTTTTGTCTGGAGCACCTGTGAGGTACTTACCTTAGAGCAGCTGTCAGACTTCCCTGGAGTCACACTGTTCTGCCCAGCGTGGGAAACTGCCCCTATCACCCGATCTCAGAGCCAGGAGCCCAGGCTGGAGTGAGGGAGGGCACTTTGCAGGGGAGGAAAGTCAGTGCTTACTCTCTCCAGGGCCCCATGGACGTTGCTTCCCCCAACAGAAAAGGATTTTAGGAAGATGAATAGTGAAGTAAGACAAGTTTGAGAAGTGAGGGGAAAAGTTTTGTGCTTGAGAGTGAGGGCTTTTCTAGAGCGGAGAGAGCACCCAGGCATTTTGGGATGGGGTTATATAGAGACATTTTCCATAATTGCCTCAATCTAGAATTCTTCACACAAGTAAGAATGAATCAGGCTTTTCATGGGGAAGGCTCTGAACTCCTGGGGTCCATCCTCAAGTTTAAGTAGCCTTTGTCTCTGCAGTGGGAGAGCCTCTTTCCTGGTGCCACCCTTGCTCTGGCTTTCCAGGCTGCTCAGGTCCTGTGTTTCCAGAGCCTTCATGTCTTTGGTCTGGGTTAAGTTCCAGGTAGTATTTTGTTCCCAATTCACATTACCAGAACCCCCATCTGTAACACCATGTCTGAGTCTAAGGCTTGTAGAGTAGATCCTCAGATCACTTTGTTTTGTTCAATGTAATTGTACTTATCATTGATGAGAAGAAGGAACACACATTGGTCATTGCTGAACAAAACATTAATATTCAAGGGTCTTCTTTTGAGTGATGTTATTCTACATAAGGAGCTTCAGGTTTCCAAGAACCCAATGACCACCTGTGAGGGCCTTACTGAACCTTTCTCACAGGAACTGGACTAGTGATAGGGGTTGGAGACACACTTCAAATGATCACATTTTGGTGAACTAGTATGGGATTTGAGGATGGATTATAATTACTCAGTTCCTATGCATACATAGGGTGTTCCTCAAGGAACACAGAGTTTAAATGGGAAATTCAGATACCAGCTATCACAGCTTTTTTGGTTTTTTTTTTTAGCTTTTTGGGTAACACCAGGTGATGCACAGGGTTACTCCTGGCTCTGTACTCAGGAATTACTCCTGGTGGTGCTGGGGGACCATATGGGATGCTGGGAATCAAACTCGGGTCAGCCTACTCCTGGTAGAGCTCAGGGGACTACCTGGGGTGCTGGTAAACAAACACAGGTTGGCTGCAGCAAAGCCAGTGCCCTGCCTGATGTAATATGGCTCTCGCTTCTCCAAGAAGCTTTCTCCACACCCCAGCCTAACAGGAGTCAACTCACAGATAGTATCCATGGCCTTGGTTGGAAGTTGTGACTGTAGGCTGGATAGTACAGCAGGTAGGGCATTTACCTTGCATGCGACTGACCGGGGTTGGATTCCCAGTATCCCATATGGTCCCCTGAGCACCGTCAGGGAGTAATTCCTGAGTGCAGAGTCAGGAGTAACCCCTGTGCATCGCTGGGTGTGACCCCCCAAAAAAAGCAAAAAAAAAAAAAAAAAAGAAACCAAACAATCCACTTAAAATAGCTTGTGGGACCAGAATAATAGCTCAGCAGCTTTTGTGTGTGTGTGTGTGTGTGTGTGTGTGTGTGTGTACAGGAGATCCCACATGGATCCCCTGTGCCACATGGTCCTTTGAGCCTCCAAACAAAAACACCAGGCAACAACCAGCAGTTTTGCAAGGTGCTATTTTAGGGAGGGCCTGAAAGGTGGTCAGGTAGGGGAGCTGGCCAAGGAGCAGGGAGCTCATCCCCCAGGTACCTTGCGATGCTTTACTACTTCCTAAGCCAGGAAGGTGGCCGGAAAAACAACTCGAGGTAATGAAACATCATAGAAAGAAGTCAAACCAATCTTGGTCCTAATCCCGGGGTTGTTATGAAGTTGGGGAAAGGTTTCTCCTTATCCTGATGTTGTGTAAGAACGGTTAAGCTGTACATGCATCCTGTATCCACCTTGAGCATATGCCTAACGTGTATATATTAGTATGTATAATTGGTCTGTGCTTCATACTCAACCAGCCAACACTGTGGTTTTCATTCCCAGAGATGTTCAGGTTCCTCTGTACCAGCCTGTAAAGTGCCATAAGCCTGTAGGAACTTGAGGTCCCAAGGGAAGAAACCTTGATGGGTGATCCAGGGGCGCCGTTGGGGCATGGGTCTGACCACCTTCTTCTCCCAGCCTCCTGTGGAGTGAGACGCTCTCAGCAGCAGCCTCCGGTCCACATTAAAGGGGGAGTCTTCACAGACATCACCTCGCACCCGTGGCAGGCTGCAATCTTCGCCAAGAACAGGAGGTCGCCGGGAGAGAGGTTCCTGTGTGGGGGCGTGCTCATCAGCTCCTGCTGGGTTCTGTCAGTGGCCCACTGCTTCCAGGAGAGGTGAGGACTCAGGGAACCAGGGCTCAGGCCCCCCCACCCCAATGCTTACACCGGCCAGGAGGGGAAAACTCGCTGCGAGAGGCATTCTAAGATGATGATTTCTTTAGGATTCTTCCCCAGAACCTTAAGGTGGTCTTGGGCAGAACCTACCGCGTGATTCCTGGAGAGGAGGAGCAAACGTTTGAAGTGAAGAAATACTTGGCCCATGAGGAATTTGATGATGACACTTACGACAACGACATTGGTAAGATGCCGTCCTTCCTGGACCAGCTTCAAGGTGGGATGTGTGCCTGCACCTCCCCTCTCCACACCCCCACCCTCCCTCACTCAGGAGCAGCTCTCCCTGCTCATGCTCCTCCCTCTCTTCCCAGCACTGCTTCAGCTGAAATCAGAGTCGCCCTTATGCGCCCAGGAAAGCGACTCAGTGCGCCCCGTTTGTCTTGAGGCCGGCCTGCAGCTTCCCGACTGGACGGAGTGTGAGATCTCAGGCTACGGGAAGCACGAGGAGTGTAAGTGGAAGGAAGTCAGGACCCATCCTGGCTGCCTGCAGAACAGCAGGGGACGCAGTGGTTGACCAGATGCAAACAGTGGTCATACATTGAATGATCACACTCATTTGCGGGATATAAAAATAATAGTATGAGAATTATACCCAAAGACAGCAGAAAAACGGGTGGTCCATGGGAGGGCTGGCCCATGGGAGGAAGCTTGCCCCCAGTTTGGGGAGAGGGAAGTTAGGACAGAGATAGGATCATTATGACAATAATTGGAAATGATCACTCTGCTCAAGAACTGGATGTCGAAAAGAGGCAAAGTGATATGCATGATAACCTTTCAGTAACAGTATTGCAAACCACAGTGCCTAGAAGGGGGGAGGGAGAGGGAGAAGGAGAGGGAGAGGGAGGGAAAGAGCCTGCCATAGAAATAGTCTGGGGGTACGGGGTGGAAGGGGGGAAAACTGGGGACATTGGTGGTGGGAAATGTACACTGGTGAGGGTTTGGGTGTTGGCACCTTGTATGACTGAAACCCAATCATGAACAACTTTGTAACTGTGTATCTCATGGTGGCTCAGTAAAAAGAATAGGGAAGGTAGGAAGGGAAGGGGGAAGGGAGGAAGGAGGGAAGGAGGAAAGGAGGGAGAAAAGGAAGGAAGGAAGGAAGGAAGGAAGGAAGGAAGGAAGGAAGGGAAGGAAGGAGGGAAGGAGGAAGGAAGGAAGGAAGGAAGGAAGGAAGGAAGGAAGGAAGGGAAGGAAGGAGGGAGGGAAGGAGAAAAGAAGGGAGGAAAGGAAGGAGGGAGGAAAGGAGGAAGGAAAGGAAGGGAGGGAGGGAGGGAGGGAGGTAAGGAAGGAAGGGAGGGAGGGCGGGAGGAACAGAGGGAGGGAGGGAGGGAGGGAGGGAGGGAGGGAATAGCACAAACGCTTTGCAGAGCTTACTTTTCATGAAGGTTCTGATAAGAAGTGGAGTATGAGGTCTTGGATTCTGTAGCTCTAGAGTTCCAATCCTAGACCTGCAGCATGGCCTGGGCCTATATTTTGATCTTACACTCTGTCAAGCCTCAGTTTCGTCACTGGGAAAATGGGGATAGATAGTTTTAAGTATTAAATAAGATATTAGGTTAAACTGGTGGTGCTCAGTGGAGCAAATTTGACCCTGAGGAGAGACTTGATTGTTCCAACACCTGAAAGAGATGTGTGCTGGCATGGAGTGAGTGGAAGGCCAGGGATGCTGCTAGTTACAATGCGTGGGACAATCACCCTTCCCCACAGCTGGTCCAAAATGTTAATGGTGCTACAAGTGAAAAGTTCTAGGGTAAGCCCAATAAATACAATAACCAGCAGTTCCACAGGCGCCCACTTAGTATGTGTCAAATCTCGAAAAATATCAGGTATTAAGAAATTTGAATTTCTCCTTCCTTTTATTTACAAAGAATTTTTTCTGAAACCAATACATTTCTTGTTTTTATTTCAGCTTCTCCTTTCTATTCTGAGCGTCTGAAGGAGGGCCATGTCAGGCTGTATCCTGCCAGCCTATGTTCGTCACAGTATTTGTCTAACAAAACTGTAACAAACAACATGCTTTGTGCCGGGGACACACGGAGTTATGGAAACCATGTTAACCTGCATGACGCCTGCAAGGTAAGCTGGAGCTTCCTTCCAAATGCGAGCAGAGACGGGGCCTGTGGGCACGAGAGGCTTACACAGGGAGGAAACCATACCTAGAATGGAGCGACCTCATCTCAGTGAAGCACAGGGAATAGGTGAGGGCCTCAAGGAATAAAGATGTTGGAGAAAGATCAAAGTGACTCAAACTTAAAAGTAAACTGCAGGAAGTTTCCGCAGCGTCAACACAGGAAACTCTAGCTGGTACAGGATTTCTTGTAAACCCAGATTTATACTCAAAATGATAAAGTGACACAAATTTTAAAAAACTGGGTTGAGGTGGGAGGGACTGGATATATAGGACAGCAGAAGGCACTTAGCATGATTGTGGCTGACCCAAGTTCCATCTCCCACATTCCATATGGTCCCTGAGCTCTGCAAGAGTAATTCTGACTGCAGAGCCAGAGTAACCTTTGAGCATCACATCTTTAACCCCAAACAAATATATATATATATATATATATATATATATTGATATTTGATGATGCTGGAGAATCTCAGACATGCTGGGCAAGTGCTGAGCCACACCCTAGACCCTAGACCTATGAGAAATTCTTTATTTTTTAATTTTTTAATGAATCACCATGAGGTACAGTGTTACAGATTTACAAAATTTTGTGCTTACATTTCAGACATACAGTGATCAAGTACCCATCCCTCCACCAGTGCTCATTCTCCGCCACTAAAATGTTCCCAGTATCCCTCCCACTACCCCCACCCAGTCTCCCTCACCCCACCCCACCTCTGTGGCAGAGCATTCCCTTTTGCTCTCTCTCTCTCTCTCCTTTTGGGAGTTGTGGTTTGCAATAGAGGTATTGAGTGGCCATCATGTTCAGTCTATAGTCTACTTTCAGCACGTATCTCTCATCCTGAGTGGGCCTCCAAGCATCCTTTACTTGGTGGTCCTTTATCTATCTGAGCTGCCTTTCCCCCCATCATTGAGGCTGGCTTCCAGGCCTCAATTCAAAAGCAATCCTCTTGGTACTCATCTCTACTATTTTTGGGTGTAAGTCTCCCATAATGAGTGCAATCATTCTATGTCTGTCCCTCTCTCTTTTTTTCTTTTTTTGGGTCACACTTGGCGACGCACGGGGGTTACTCCTGGCTTATGCACTCAGGAATTACTCCTGGCAGTGCTTAGGGAACCATACAGATGCTGGGAATCCAACCCGGGTCAGCCGTGTGCAAGGCAAACGCCCTACCTGCTGTGCTATCGCTCCAGCCCCTTGTCCCTCTCTTTCTGACTCATTTCACTTAACATGATACTCTCCATGTTGATCCCTTTATATACAAATTTTATGACTTCATTCTTTCTGACAGCTGTGTAGTATTCCAGACCTATGAGAAATTCTTGACTATGAATTGGAGTTTGATTTTCAGAAGGGGTGTGGGGCAGAAATAGGCACCTATGTAGGATATAGACAATTTGGGGGAAAAACATTTCAAACAGCTCTGTAGTTATAAGATAAGATGAAATCTTGCATTTCACCACTACTCAGATGGAACTGTAGGGTACCGTGTTAAATGTCAGAGGGAGGACAAATAACTGGGAGATCTTACACATTTGTGGCATACAGAAAAACAAAGCAAAGTCATACATAGTATCACATGTAAACAATCTATTGGTCCTACCTTATAGAACTAAGAATACCAAGCAAGGTGAAGGGTTGGAGGGACCTGGTGAACTGGACTGGAAGTAATTTAAGGACATTGGTGGGTCTTGGGCACTTGGATTGTGGTGAGATGTGATCACTGTGTACATCCAAACCATAAACATTAACTTCATCTTAAACAAAAATGTTTAAAACTCTAAGAATTAAATTGGTTAGTTGTAAACAAAGTTCATTTTTGTGTATGAAAAAAGACCCCAACTCGTTAGAAAGCAAACTCTTTCAGGATCTTTGTGTTGACCTTATTAGGATTCTATTTTATGATGTTAAGAAACTGAGGTTTGGGACAGGCTGGCCTGCAGCATTTGCCCCAGGATATCTCTGAACCCTTAGTGTTTGGGTATTCCTGTGCCCCCTTGTGCCAGGCTGCCCTCAGAGAGGAGCTAGAAAGTAGAGAAAGGCAGGAGGCTGCTCCGGCTCTTGCACAGGCTTTTTCCTTAGGTGTCAGCATACTCCGCCCATTCCCCTGGGACCCTTGACAACCTTTGATCTCTTCTTGAATGGCTTCTTTAGAGACTTCAGCTGTAACACTTAAGCCAACAATCATAAAAAGACCATATGCAAACTGAAACTGCTATCTGCCGAAAGACTCCATTGTATTAAAAAATACAGCAAAAAATTATTTGGAGTCAAGAAGACAATATCCAGATTTTTAACAAGCCCCCAGATTTTTACTATCTCACATCCTTTGTTCATGGTGTTTCTCCTGCTTTCTCCAAATTCATCTCTTTAACCTACCAAGCAATATAGACTTTCCTGTCAACATCAAAGAAAACTAAAGCACAGCTAGCCTGAAGCTACACAGCTAATTAAAGATGGTCAAAGCTGAAGTGTTTGAGCAATTCTTTCCATTCTACTTTCTAATAATATCTTTATCAGATTGTTAGAGATTATTAGATTTACTGCTGGCGCGATAGCACAGCGGGTAAGGCGTTTGCCTTGCAAGTGGCCAATATGGCCGACACGAGTTCAATTAGATTTACTATCCACAGAGTCAAGATTATTGAGATAAGGGATAGGAGAGATGGAGCTTGTCTTGTACTAGGCTAACCCTGTTCAATCCCAGGAACCATAATATAATTCTGAGCACTGCCAGGAGTGATCCCTGAGCCCAGATGTGCCCCCCCCCCCCAAATAGATGTAGATGGAAATTTCCCTCTCTGGAAACTCGCATGCATCTCTGCCTGATATGCATTCCTTTCTTTCACCTTGTGTGCATGTGCCCACATCTCTACCTGAGATGTGTATACTCTGTGGAGGGCACATTCCCCAATCTGCCTGAGATAGGTACTTTGCTTTTTTCCACTCTGGAGAAGCATGAGTTCTCTCTTGAGTATTGTCTCTTTTTCCCTTCCCTTACTTTCCAAATAAATTTATTTTACTTAGAATAATTTCTCTCTCTAAGTCATGTAGTTTGATGAGTACAATATGAACACTACAAATGTTTACATCCACCTTCCCCAAGTAGTTTACATTTTTTTCCCTTGACAATTACCTGTTTGGGGGCCAGAGAGAATGTACTGTGGGTAAGGCATTTGTCTTGCTTTTGGCTGACTGGGTTCAATTCTTTGAGCTTAGCCAGGAGTGGCCCCTTAGCACAGTTAGGAATGACCCCAAAACCAAAACATTTTGTTTTCTCTTTTACAGGGTGATTCAGGAGGCCCTCTGGTGTGTATGAACAACAACCGCATGACCCTGATTGGTATCATCAGCTGGGGCCTTGGTTGTGGGCAGAAAGATGTCCCAGGAGTATACACCAAAGTTGCTAATTACCTAGATTGGATTCAAAACAATATGCGGCCATGACAGAAATACCCAGTTCCCTGAAATAATGGGAGACCCTGCCTGTTTTTCCTCCAAGACACACCAAGGCAATGTGCTTCTTCATACAGATTTCTCTATCATCCAGTACCAGTTGGGGTGGAACTCTTGGAAGAGAAGAGAGGTCATGTCTTCATGGGCATTGCCCATTTTAGAAGTTTTCAGTGGACAAGGTCTGAATTTAGGACAGGGCCAGTTAATCCCCTTGGGACCATTACTGTCTAGCGAAGTTTCAGATGAGCCTGAGCTCCTAATCTGTTCATGTGAGCAGCTTTGGAAGTAGGAACCCCAAACTAACACGCATGTCTGGATAGTAAGAAATGACTGGATCTTTAAATATAAGATTGTATTTGAAATAAAATGCCTAGTTATAGTCATAAGGAAGTCAAGTAGGGCCTCCTGGTAAGGGATGGGCTGGCGGGCCAGCTTAAGTTCCTCAAAATCACCCTTCAAATCAATTAGTTGACTTTTGCTTTCTCTCCAGCACTTAAAAGGAATTTCTATTGTGTTCAGTGTAAATCTTCTTTATAAACCTTAGTAGAATAAAATTATAGCATTTTAACAATAGAATGATAGAAATGGTTTAGCCTATTTGTTTAAAACATTTTAGTTTTTACTTTCTGTGGTCACAATCCTGTATTATACTGTACTGGAATAATAAATTTAAATATATTTTCACACACTTCCCATCAGAGTGGAAACATTTTGTTACCCTTGCAGAATCCCACAGCTTATTTACTCATGTTATTCAATTTGGTGAAAAAATAAAAAATCATTTGAAATATCTCCTGAAATGCTTCCTTTCATTCATTCAATCTATATGAACTATGTACTGCATATAGAACACAATGCTAGGTCTGTGGACAGTAAAAAAAGAGAAGAAACGGGTTCTTGGCTTGACCAAAAAAAAAAAAAGGTATTTCAAGAAATAACGGGGTAAGCCAGAGATGGAGTACAAAATAGCTGAGGGAAACTAACTGAAGTTTTGTTGGAGGAAAGATCAGGGAATCTTAAAGAAAAAAGGTAAAGGTAAAAAAAGGTAAAGGCCCTCCCGTTGATCGTCGATTTGCTCGAGCGGGCCCAGTAACATCTCCATTGGAGACTTTGTTGTTACTGTGTTTGGCATATCGAATACTCTCGGTAGCTTGCCAGGCTCTCCGAGTGGGGCGGAGGAATCGAACTCGGGTCGGCCATGTTGGCTGCTTGTAAGGCGAACGCCCTACCCGCTGTGCTATCGCTCCAGCCCATTTTAAAGAAAAAAATGAATAGTAAAGTTTGAAAAAAAAAACAGCTAAAATTTGGATTGGAGAGAGGTTGGGGAAAGGCATATTTTTTCCCCACTTTATTTGGTTTACAGAGTTGTTCATGATGCATTTGTTTTAGGCATTCGATATTCTAACCCCAATCCCACCACCACTGTGACCCTCCTTCCACTATTGGCCCCATTTTCCCAACCACCCCAAAAGCCTGCCCCAGAGCAGGCCCCAAATCATTTATTCTTTATTGCTTGTTATTGGCTGGAGCAATAGCACAGCGGTAGGGCGTTTGCCTTGCATGCAGCCGACCCGGACGGCCCAGGTTCAACTCCTCTCTGCCCCTCTCGGAGAGCCCGGCAAGCTACCAAGAGTATCTCGCCCGCACGGCAAAGCCTGGCAAGCTCCTCGTGATGTATTCGATATGCCAAACACAGTAACAAGAAGTCTCATAATGGAGATGTTACTGGGCCCACTTGAGCAAATCGATGAACAATGGGAGGACAGTGACAGTGACTGCTTGTTATCACTAAATGACTAATGGAATTACCAAAAAATACTTCAGTAAATTTGCGTGTCTTATTTTCCCTTTGGAGAACCTGGCAGGCTACCAAAAGTATCCTGCCCGCATGGCAGAGTCTGGCAGACTTCTTGTGTCGTATTCAATATGCCAAATACAATGATGAGTTTCATTCTCCTAATCCTGAAAGAGCATTGAAATAACTCTTTTAAAATCTCAGGGCTAGGAAGAAGGAGACATTACTGGTGCCTGCTCGAGGAAATGGACGAACAACAGGATGATCGTGATTGTGACTTCAGTAAAAGAAAATTAGTAAAAATTGTTTTATCTCACCATGAGGACATTAAGTCCTTGTCTAAGCTGCTGTTGCGAGTTGAACCTTCTGTGTTAATGTTTTTATTTATCATTCTTATTCCCATCCAATCTGGTGTTCCACTGGGATGTTACTATTGTAGAGTTGAAGATGTCACCTGACCATGCTCCAGAAAATTCAGAGTAGTTAACTGAGCAATGAGCTTACATGGTGGTGGTGGTGGTGGAATGTGGGTGTGGCTGCCGGGGGCTTCCAGAAGTATGGGGGGTTGGGGGGAGGTCACCACCATCACTCAAGAAGGCCCAGAGTTCTTAGCCAAAACAAAGCAGTGTCCTTGGAATTTTCAGTTTGACATCTCTGCAGAGCTGTCACGAGGTGGTGGAGTCTGGCTGCAGGCACCGCGGCAGCTGTGGGCTGTGAGTGTGGCTGTCCAGGCTTTGGTGGTGGGGTGGGGGGTGGGGGGGGCTTGACCCGGTACTCAAGGAAAGGCATATCTTTTTTTTTTTAATTTTTTTTTATTAGTGAAACACCATGAGGTACAGTTGTAGATTTACAATTTTTTTGTGCTTGGGTTTGATTATACAATGATCAGATACCCATCCCTCCACCAGTGCCCATTTTCCACCACCATGGATAATATCCCCCCCACCCCCATCCCCCATCCCCCCCAGCCTCTGTGGCAGGGCAATCCCCTGTGTTCTCCCTCTCCTTTTGGGTGTTGTGGTCTGCAAAAGAGGCATTGAGTGGCAAACATGTTCAGTCCATAGCCTACTTTCGACATGCATCTCCCCTCCTGGGAGGATCCTCCAAACACCCTTTATTTGGTGTTCCCTTCTTTATCTGAGAGATCGTTTCGGCCCCAAGACCTCTAATCATTCGCTTTACCGGATAAAACTGCGTGGGTGGTCGTGCGAGAGCGCCAGCTATCCTGAGGGAAACTTCGGAGGGAACCAGCTACTAGATGGTTCGATTAGTCTTTCGCCCCTATACCCAGGTCGGACGACCGATTTGCACGTCAGGACCGCTACGGACCTCCACCAGAGTTTCCTCTGGCTTCGCCCTGCCCAGGCATAGTTCACCATCTTTCGGGTCTCTGCCCCCGCGCCTGGGTGTTCCTTCCCGGAGTCCCTTGGAGGGGAGCGGGTTGAGCTTTCCTCCCCGCCCCGACCAGGGCTACGGCAGCCGAAGACCTCCAGGACCAGCCACCACCATGCTGAGACCACTCTCCGCACACATGAAGGTACTGGCAGAGGGACAAAGCCACGCGGGTTCCGGGGCCGAGACCTCCAAGCCTACTCGAATTGGAGTCGAGCATCTTCCACCCAGATCCTCCAAATTCCAGTAGGCGGGGGTCACACCCACCACCTGGCCCCCTGGCGCCGTGTAATCCCATCAGCGGCCAAGACTCAGAGACTATAAAATCCAGATCCCGGAACCTAACAGAACTTTTTTTTATGACATCTTATTGTCTTATTCCTACTTTGGACAAACTTGCAGGCTATCGAATGTAGCCTGCCCACAGGGCAGAGTCTGGCAAACTCCCCGTGGCGTACCAAATATGCCAAATACCAGTAACAATGATGGGTCTCATTCTCCTAAAGAGCCTTGAATATAATCTCAGGGCTAGGATGAAAGAGACGTTACTGGGGCCTGCTCGAGGCAATCGACGAATAACAATCTTTATCTGAGCTGCCGAAAGGCATATCTTATAGCCAGGAATAGCACTGCGTGAAAATAAAAACACCTGGCAGACAAAACAGCAAACAGTGGGAGTATAGGAAAGAATTGACTATATCTTATCTGAAGTGAAATTCATGAAGTAGAAAGTTGGTATTTAGAATGGGAAATTTGAATGGCAAGCTGAGTTTGGACTTGATTCTCTAGGCAATGTGTAGTGACTGAGGTTTTTGTGTAAGGGAGTCATATTTTCTATTTGGTTTTAGTGCCACCCCCAGTGACGCTAGTGCTCACTCCTGGCGGGGCTCCAGGGATCATATGTGATGCCCAGGAGCAAAGCCAGGTCAGCTGCTATATGATCACTCTGGCCCCATGTATAAGGGAGTTATGAACTAAGCATGCTTTAGAAATTAACCACGTAGTGGTTGGTGGGAGATGTACCCCCCCACGCCCCATGGGGGTCTCTCTAGCACACAGAAGAGAGAGCATAGAATCTATACATGACTTTGGTAACAAAGAATATCTCAATTATTGGTTCAGACTTGGAGCTAGTATTTGGCTAGTTCCATTATTTTGCTTTAGCTGTTCATTAGAAATTAATGTCTAGGCCGGTCCATACATGGAATTAAAAATACTTTCTAGGCCAAGGAGATGTTCAAAGGGTTAGAGCATTCACTTTGCATGTCGAGTTTGATCCCTTAACCGTGATCCCTCAGGTTTGATCCCTGGCGCCTCATGGTTCCTTGAGCACCCAATCATAGGTAGTACCTGGTACTCTGGATGTGGCCAAAACAAACAAAAAATAAGTAAAGCTTCTCTTAGACTGTAGGCACTACAGAAACACAACTTGTATTCCTCCTACTCCTGGGCCACTTTTTTGGGATTGGGAGCACCCCCAGGCTTACTCTTGGTTTTGAGCTCAAGGATCACTCTAGACAGGCTCAGGGACACTATGGGGGGCCGGGGATCAAACCTGGGTTGAACACGCAAAGCAAGCACCCTGCCCGCTGTATTACTGCTCCAGTGCCAGGGCTTTATTAAAAAAATATATTTCTTAGAATCAGATCTTAGAATAAATCTATGGCAAGGCTTACTGTTGGCTGTATATTGAATTTTTTAGGGGAACGATCATAGTTGTTTCTATCTCTTGAGAGGTCAGAATTGCTAGAGTTTAGAGGTTCTTCGATTAAACAGTGTAAAGTTTGCTCAGGACCAAATGGCTTGCTGATGAGATAGTGACATTCCTGGAATCAAAGATCACCCTGTGCCCTCTGGTGCTGGGCAGCCACCATTCCGTGCTTCCTCACAGCCCCTACAGATCACAGCCTGCTAGACCAAGCTCAGGGCTCCCTCTGCTCTTTGTTCCCATTCCCCTGCTTTGCTTTCCCCAGGGTGTGGTGCTATCCTCCAACCTCATTAGAGGTCAGTGGGGTCAGCCCGGGAGCAACAAACTTCTCCTGTTTCTTCACTTTACTTGTCTCTGTTCCAGGGTCTGTACTGGGTGAAGTCCAGACCTGTCACCAAGTAGTTTCAACACAAGAGAAAGAGAAAGACTTGGATGGGAGCAGTGTGGGTGGGAAGGATCGTAAGTTAGATAGACCTGCATTTCTGCCATTGATAGCGGTAGATCTTAAATTAGATAGACCTGCATTTCTGCCATTGTAAGGGGGTGAGGGGAGTAGGGGTGGGTGGGGGGAGCTGGATGGCTATAGACAATAAGCTAGAACCCCAGCTATGGGTTCATAGGCAGGAATCCTGTTGTTTTATTCTTCTCCCCCTTACACGACAGGCTTTTCATTCAAATTGGGTTAATGAAATGAATTGAGGTAGCAGGGCCTCCTGGGAAGAAAAAGTAAAGTAAAGAGGCCTCAGCATTCCTCTGAGGGAAGCCGTGGAAACCACAGACTTCTCGAAGACAGTTGCTCAGAAGAGCCCAAATGACTAAGCTATAGAGCTAAGTCCTAGCCCTGCCAGACAGATTCATCTGAATTCAAATAAATTAGTCAGACCCAATGTGGGTTCAGCATTCAGGGAAAAATTCTGGAACTTGCTAGGGGAAGAAAATGAGTATAAAAGAAATTAAATTAAGAAGTTAAATTTCCCACGCTTCCTAAATGATTAATAAAACAAACAGATGCTGACCTAAGAACAAGCACAGCCTCAGGTAACTGTGCCACTCACTTGAATAAATATAAGCGCTTGGTGTGGTTGTCCGGCAGAGCTAGAGCTGACGTCTGGTCCAAAAATACAGTGAATTTTTGGTTCCTGTTTAATTTTAAAAGTCAAAGACTCATATATTCTTCAATACTTGGAATCTTGGGGAAAGTTTAATAGTTTTAAACTGAGTTCCCCATTTAAAAGGTCTAAGAATTAAGGACAATTAGGGACTAGAGAGATACTACAACAGGGACGGCACTAGCCTTGATGTGGCTGACCTGGGCTCAACCCCCGACACCACAGAGTGAGTTCTGAGTGAGAATCAGGAGGAAAGCCTAGCACCACAGACCAAAAAACTAAAAAGTAAAAACAAATAAAAAAGGGAATTAAAAAAAACAATCTCTGGCTGGAGAGATAGTACAGCGGGTAGGGCGTTTGCCTTGCACGCGGCTGACCTGGGTTCAATTCCCAGCATCCCCTATGGTCCCCTGAGCACCGCCAGGAGTGATTCCTGAGTGCAGAGCCAGGAGTAACCCCTGTGCATCGCCAGGTGTGACCCAAAAAGCAAAAAACAAAACAAAACAAAAAGAAAATCTCATTGCTGACACTACGTCTCCACCTACTGACTAAAGAAGAGAGTACAACTGCTATAAACTACCACCACCACGCCAGGAGGGAAATATTAACAATGACACAGAGGGGACAGAGCATTAACACATACTTGAGGTCAGTGATCAGAAAAAAGTGTAAAAGTGTAAATCTCTTCCTGGGAATGAGGATATGCTGGAAGGAAATCACTATAGTTCAGGGGTAACAGACAGGGTCTATGACTTTTACCAATCTCTACTATAATTAGGATGCCTAGAACCAAGGCCTGAGTGATAGTATAGCGGGTAGGGCATTTGCCTTGCACAAGGCCGACCGGAGTTCAATCCCCAGCATCCCATATGGTCCCCCCAAGCACCGCCAGGAGTAATTCCTGAGTGCAGAGCCAGGAGTTATCCCTGAGCATCACCGGGTGTGACCTAAAAAGCAAAAAAAAAAAAAAAAAAAAAAAGATGTCTAGGACCCCTACTCCCTATTTCACTTCTGAACTATTGAGCCTGAAAAAATCAACCAAATGTGAAAAAGCACTAAAAACGATGGCAGTAAATTCAATGAACCTCTGTCCTCACAACCTTAAGCTACTCTAGTGGTAATAACATCCTCTGTGCTGCACAAGTGGCCAGAGAACCTAAGTATACTCCTGGTTTTAGTTTTCCCAATAAAGAAGCAGAAAGAGCATCCTTAGTATACTTCTTATTGCTTCTACTAAAATATGCATGGCATAACCTAAAATAGTTCTAGTAACAAAATACTCTAGACATAAAGTACTGATGAAACTCAACTTTATTAAGATTTAAACAGAGAGGGAACGTTGTACATATGGAAAGAGCTCAGTGAGAAACCATGCACGACTTGTGCAGTTGCACCACGGGGTCAGAGCCATGATGAGTTCCAGAGCTACAAGAGTCTGTGCTAGTTACTGCATACGCAAAATCTTGCGGGTTCCACAACTGCAAAGACCCGGGAAATTAGGTTGAGATCCCCAGAGAGTGAGTCAAAGGGCTGGACACATAACCCTAAAACTATTCACAGACCAAGACTGGCTGCTTCCTGTGCTCAAGCACAGGAATCCTCCCATCCCTCAGGAGAAGTAACACCACATATTCTGAAACTCACTGGCAGAGAGGCTTCCCCTACTGTGGCAGGTGTGTCTATGGGACATCATATATCAGAACAAATACTGGAATGATAGATTATTAAACACCAATGTGATATACAGCACAATTTATCCCCCTCGCGCACCCCCCCCCCCCAACACAAAACAACTTTACAGCAAAAACAAGTCCAGGAAATCAAACAAGCACAAAACTTACCTACATATTTGCAAACAGCTTCAGAGAAAAATGGTAGGATTTGGAGACTTTTTCTCCATGCATGAAGCAGTGCACATCATCACTCCTTAAGCTATTATTTTAAAAATCCTGTCTTATTTATACAAATATGGGTAATAGACACTTTGAAGTAGGATAAAGGACCCACTGGGAAAGCTGAGGGGCCCCCTTCAGTAGCCATGTCTTATTACTGGGCGATGCTGGGACAAAAATGGTCCATTTGCCCATGTTTGATTTATTTGAGATTTAAGGGACACTCTTTGCTTTAAAGCAAATATGAACTGGTAGACATTCACTGTTAGTAAATGAACTTTAGGATTCAAAAGACTTTTAGAAAATTACTGAGCAGCTTCATGAATTACTAACACCCTCAATATTAATCACTGATGGACCAGAAGCTTCGATTCTAGCACCAGTTGGTTCTGATAAATGTTGGAAAAGGAATAAGTGAATTATCCCAGGGGACTACTCCCTCAATAGGAATGATCCTTTATATCCAAAACTGTGATGTACAAAATCTAGCTTCCTGGAGGTGTTGGGCTTGTTTTCTCTGAAACTCTCTTCAGACAACAGGAAAAAGGCCGGTGAATTCTGTAAAGTGAATAGAATTTATTGGAGTTGAGGGAAAAAGAGGCATTTCAGACAATCACCATCAAGAAGAGGGCAGGTCACCTTCTCATCGAATATGACAGATAAAATGCTGAATAAAGACAAGCAGTAGTTTAGTATCTTATAACTGCTCAGATATCTCCAATTGTTTTAAGGAAAATTTTGATTCTACTAAGTTTTCCAATGTCAATAGTGGACGTGAATATATGAAACCTCCAGTTCATTTCTAGAAGTACATTTTTTATGAAAATAGAGGTATCAGAAAGAAGCTCGTTCCTTCTGATTCTGTCACGTGGAGCTGGATCCCTTTTCTGGCCACTTTGACTTTAGTTTGTGCCCTGGCCCTTCTGTACTACTTTCTTTCTCTTCCTCAGAGATGTCATCCTTTACTGGCCTGTCTGCAACTAATATCCATTTTTCTTCCAAACTTTCTTTCTTCTATTCTTCCTTTTCCACCTTAAAAACAAAGAAACAAGTCTTTCATTGGCTTTCCATAATTAAGGCCAACCAAGTAATAATGCTAGTTCCTCTCTATGGTGACCACATTAAAGAGTTGACTATGGTATTAAGCATTTCTACCCTCCATCACATATTTCTTGTTTTAGAACTGACTTGGTGGTGCCTTTATTTCAGTTCTGTCCAGTTCTCCCTCGCAACCCTTTCTCCCTTGATCAGCTCCATGGCACTGAAGGCTAAGGAAAGTCGGGAGCAGGCAGGTCTGGGAGGGGACTGACCTAGGAGACAGGCTGTTATGTTTACTCTGAGACAAGTAAGAAATGAAAAAGTGTTTGTGACTGCTCCCTTTGCAAAACTCTCCCTTCAGGTTCGAACTTGGAATTTTCCAGCTTTGGTCATGTATTTTATGCCCTTAAACGGTTTGTACTTTTCTCCATACATATCCAGACGATTCACTTTGAGTCCTTGAAGAAAGGAAGAAAGAGTAAGACGGTGTTATTCAAAAGTTGCAAGGAGCACAATGGTCTGCATTCATTCTAATTCAAAGAGATAAGTGGGTTAGAGACTTGTAAATAAATGAACCAAAAAAATTATTTGATTTATTTTATTATTCATTATGAAGCTTCATTCTTGGTACATGCCCCAATTAAAAAAATTGTTCCTACATAGAGCTAGCTTATTCCAGGACAAGTTCCTGAAGGGGAAGGATATGGAGTAAGTTTGAAGTGAAAGTCAGAAGGTTGACTTTCAGTAACAATAGCTGCATGGCTTCCCTCAAGTTAATACATGAATTTATAGTAACAAAATTAATAAATTAATGAAATAAGTAAATTAAGAATGAAAAATTAAGAATGAATGTTTCCTAAGCATCCTCACTGTACTAAGCACAAAAAATCTTATATTGTAGAAAGTGTCAAAGAACTGTTGCTCTTGTGGCTTTTCAGTCAGAGACAGGGATCACTCCTGGTAGAGCTTAGGGAACTGTAAGCAGCTCCAGGGATCAGACTAGGGATGGCTGTGCTCAGGGCAAGAGCCTAAACCCTTGGACTATCTTTCTGGTCCCAAAGGATATGTTTTCATTTTTGTTTGCCTTTTGGGTCACACCTGGTGATGCGCAGGGGTTACTCCTGGCTCTGTATTCTGGAGGTGCTCGGGGGACCATATGGGATGGTGGGAATTGAATTCAGGTCGGCTGTGTGCAAAGCAAATGCCCCACCTGCTGTGCTGTTGCTCCAGCCCCAAAAGATATGTCTTTAAGATGGAGTTTATAATTTAAATTAATTTTATATTGAATACGCCCAAATAATTATAATAAAAGCAAACATGAAATCTTTGGAAATTTTGGGAAACTAGGGAGAAAGCTTGGGAAGCTCAAATTAATGAATTGAAGGTGATGAAAGGACTGCCTGCGGACACATGTAGCTTCCAATATTGTTTCTTTGTCTTAAATCTTATGAACATTTTTCTCACATACTTAACTTCAAATTGAAGATTATAAACTTTGCCCAGACACATGCAAGAAAAGATTTCATTCAAGATTCTAAGTAAATGAGACTGAACTCTGTAAATAAGGAGCTCCTGGAAGGCTTCCTACTATCTGAATGTTTGTGGAGAAAGTAATTTCTGTTCTACTCAAGGCTACTAAGCTCTGGGTCACTTACCGGAAATCGCCAGCTGCTGGATCTTAAACTGCAGGTTAATTGTGGGGTTCTCATCTGGCTTAGAAGTTCCAGCCTGAAGACTCATGGTTCCTTTCAAACTTGGTAACTTTTGGGGATTTATTTTTCCTACATCCCAAGTCAGCATCTTCAAAGGAAAAAGAAGTTACAGCGGAAGCTTTCATTTAAGGTGGCTGAGAACGAAGCTCAGGCATCTTGCCTCAGGGTAATTTCTTATTTGTTAGCACCAATTACTTCAAAGAGAAAACAATGTTCTTTTGAATTACATCCCTTTCAAACAACGTATAAGAGCTCTTGTACTGATTTCTCTTTAACACTGTCAATTCAAAGCATCTTAATTATTCTCCTACCTTAGTAACTGGGTCAAACGTGTGTGCTCCTTGAGATGGTGTGAGGCTCATATTAAGAACTCCTTTGGGCATCTGGCTAGTGACAATCACGCCCTCTATCGTCTTCCCCATTGTCTGTTTAGGTCCAACTGTGATTTCAAAGCGTCCAAGTGAACTACTATCCCGGAAACTGATGCTATGTTTGACATACACTGGAATTGCCACCAAACTAGAAAAGAGAAAAACACCGAAAACCCTTTTATTAATGTACAGGAAAAAAGGCAATATTTCCTCTCTGTGTTTTCTTCCCCCTTGGCAGCCTTTCCTTCCTTAACCATTTACCTTTAAAAAATAAGCACTGAAAAACCTTTTTCTTTTTATAAAGCTGGAAGCCAGCTAGTAAGTAACAATCTTCTAATGATTCTCTGAATAATATCAACACAACCAACAAGTATGAGAAAGCATTTTGACCAAAATTAGGTACCATTATAATTTTTCTTTTTGTGGTAGGGTCCCCCAAGTTGTGCTTAAGGTGCTGGAGGGGTACTCGTGGCAAAATCAGCCAGGTGGTGTGGGCCTCAGCTCCACTGTGGCGGTGTGTGATGGTCGGGCTGTGTCAGGGCCCAAACCCAGGGCCGTGCAGGCCAGGTGTGTGCACTGGGCGCTATCTCTCGGGACCCAAGGCACCAGGATTTTAAGTTCTACTTTGTAAAATGTGATCCATTATTTGTTCTTGGAAAAATAATATTCAAAATCCAGTAACCATTGGGCTGGAGCCTTGCATGCGGCCAACCCAGGTTTGATTCCTCTGTCCCTCTCGGAGATCCCGGCAAGCTACCGAGAGTATCCTGTCTGCACGGCAGAGCCTGGCAAGCTCTCCATGGCGTAATCGATATGCCAAAAACAGTAACAACAAGTCTCACAACGAAGACGTTACTGGTGCCCTCTAGAACAAATTGATGAACAACGGGAGGACAGAGCTACATTGCAGTAACCATTTACAAATTCTTGAGAATATTTTACCTCTTCTGATTCTTACCTATGAAGTAAGGTAGCTTGTAACATTTGACTGGAAGGAATAGAGAAGTCACAGAATGACACTGATGCAGTAGCAGTTTAGTTTTCAGGAGTTGCACCTGGCCGTGCCTCAGAGCTATTCCTGAGTGATCTGTTTGGCCACCTGCAGCGCTGGGGATCAGACCTCGATGGCCACCTGCAGGCAGGCGCCTTCCCCACATGCCTTTCTGCCCAGGGAGCAGCAGTCCTGACATTCGTGCACTTCTCTCTGCTACGCATTCTGCTTAATGTTTTATTTCCATCACAGCATTTATTGTTCCCAATGAATATGAAATATCCTGATTTTCAGTGAATACTGATGTCCTTAACTGAGATTAAATAACTTGCACTGTAAATACTACAGTAAGATTCAAGTCTAGATAATCTGATGCAAGACCTATCTTTACTCTCAAACATTCATTTGCCTTCAACTGTCTTATTCTAAGTTACACAGGATGCTACTGTTATGGTATTCTTTACTTTGCAAACCTTTAACTTAATCACTACATTTAAGGTTTTTCATAACGGAATTTAATGTGTTTTGGGGTCATGGAGTGTGAGTACAAGTGTACTTGTATTTCAATTTTTTTTTTTTTTTTTTGCTTTTTGGATCACACCCAGCGATGCACAGGGGTTACTCCTGGCTCTGCGCTCAGGAATTACCCCTGGCGGTGCTCAGGGGACCATCTGGGATGCTGGGAATCAAACCTGGGTAGGCCGCGTGCAAGGCAAACACCCTACCTGCTGTGCTATTGCTCCAGCCCCTTGAATTTCAATTTGAGGGGAAAATATCTCTCCTTTCAAAGATGCACGACAATAGAAACAAGAGCAGCAATTTTAATGAACACTTATTTTTTGTTGTGTAGTACTTAATACCCTCATTTGATTCTCATAATAAGGCACTTTAACTATTTTCAATTTTCATGGAAGGAAACATACACACAAAGGCGGACTAACTCATCCAAGAGTACCTGAGTAAGGAATCGGAACCTAAGTGAATTTCAGCCTGAGTTCTTTTTTTTTTCTTTTTGGGTCACACCCAGCGATGCTCAGGGGTTACTCCTGGCTCTGCACTCAGGAGTTACCCTGGCGGTGCTAAGGGCACCATATGGGACGCTAGGAATCGAACCCGGGTCTGCCGCATGCAAAGCAAGTGCCCTACCTGCTGTGCTATCACTCCAGCCCCCTCAGCCTGAGTTCTTGATCACCACAGACATCATTTATACACACACACACACACACACACACACACACACACACACACACACACACATTCAATTCTTAATTCTGAGGGATGCTTACTTCTGCGCACTGACATGGTAAGAGAGCAGGCGGAAGTTCCCATCAGGAGGGATGAAGGAGAGGATCCGCTCAGACTCCCAGCGCTTGAAACGAACGCAAGGATGGAAGCTGACATCGTCCAACAACCTGGGGTTCTACCATTATCAGGAAGAGAAAAGCAAGTAGGGATTAAACAGGCATATTTCTTTCAAGAAAGTAACTCTGATGATATTTTTTGTTTAAAAAAATACGCTGTGTTTATAGAAGAGTCAAGGCTGCTTTAAACTCTGTGGCGGTCCTTAAGTATCTCTCCTTATTTTGCTCTACCCGGACAAACGGCTTTCCAGGAGCACTTAATTTCCCCTCCCCAAAGCTAAGCCTCTGGTCCATGATTTTACCATGAAGGAAAGTGTAAGGTCTGGCATTCCAGTCAGCTTGACACAGGCATCAATCACCCCCTGGATCTCAGCAGTGATTGTAGAACCTGAGACAGATACAAGATAAAAAGATAAAAAGATAAAAAGATAAAAAGAAGGAAAGAGGTAACCCAGCACTTCTCTGTCCTTCACAACTTAATTCTTCCTTTCTTCCTCCTCCTCTGACCTTTTTCTTTTCCAACTTTTCTTTTTTCCTTCTTTCCCCCTCATTTCTCTTTTCTCCCTCCCCCACTCCTGGGGTGGCCTTGCCTCACTTATTCTTTCTTCTTTCCTATTCATTCAATTGATTTGTCAATTCTTCCAAATGTCTATCAACTGCATACAAAGTATGAGCCACTGATAAATTAATGGTGATTAATTTGGTGAGATAAAGGCCCTCCCGTTGATCGTCGATTTGCTCGAGTGGGCCCAGTAACGTCTTCACTGGAGACTTTGTTGTTACTGTGTTTGGCATATCGAATAAGTCATGGGGAGCTTGCCAGGTGAGAAATTTACTAATCACTTAATCACTTAACTTCCCGTTAGTCGTCGATTTGCTCGAGCGGGCACCAGTAACATCTCCATTTATCCCTGTCGCGTGCTAGTGTAGCCCAATGGCATCTGTTCGCTCCAGGAACATGAAGGGCCTCAAACCGATCGTTCATGATCTTGACGAAGAAGTCTGACCATCTGGTAGGTGGGCGGCCACACGGTCTTTTGACATCCCGTGGAATCCAATCAGTAACAGCTCTAGTCCAACGGTCATCTTTAAATCTCATTATGTGACCAGCCCATCTGATTTTCGACACCTTGGCAAATGAGACAGCGTCCCTGATCCTTGATCGTCGATGGATGTCAGAACTCCGGATTCGTTCTCTCATTTAGTGAAACGTGATATTCCAAGCATAGCTCTTTCTATTCTTCTTTGGGAGACCTGAATAGCGTTCTCATCTTGTTTGCGTAGGGCCCAGGTCTCTGAGGCATATGTTAATGCAGGAAGAACAGTGGAATCAAAGAGATGTGCCCGGAGCCGGAGGTTCTTCGTCCTCTTAGCTATTTCTTCGACGTTCTTGAAGGCGTTCCAAGCCGCTCTCTTCCTCCTGCTCAGCTCGGGTGCCAGGTCATTTGTCATGTTGACCTCTCGACCTAGGTACACATAGCTGTTGCATTCGGAGATGGTCGTTCCATTGAGAGCGAATGGGGCGTCAGGAACAAGGCTGTTTCTCATAAACATTGTCTTCGTAAGATTCAGCTGTAGTCCTACCTTTCCACACTCACGGTCAAAGATTTACTAATCTAAAGGAGTTTTCAATTTGAGACCAGACTTAAACAGAGCTTCATATCCTAGTCAATGGTCCACTGATGAACTCTGCCTTAAATGGAACTGACACAAGTTTTCGTCTACAGGGTCTCTCTGCACTGTCATTGTTAACTACTTGTTTTTCAACATAATCCTCTCTCGACCTCTCCTACTCTTCCATTTTCCACAGTGCCTTCTCCAAGTTTTTGTTTTTAAGTAGAGTCACTCTCAGCATCTCTGGGCCTGTTGGTGAAAGACTGATGGATTAGTGCTCAGTGCCCACCAAAGCAAAACAAAACTCCTTGTTTTTGCCACACCAGTGGTGCTAAGAAAGGACTGAGGGATGGGGAGAATGTATGCTGTGGATAAAACCCAGGTCTCACGTGTACAAAACGTGCACTAGCTATGTCCCTAGACACCCCTTCATTTTTAAGCTTTTAAAAGTGCTCAGGGCTTACTCCTGGCTCTATGCTGAGGGATCACTCCTGGTGGGGCTCAGAGACCATAGGGGATGTCAGAGATTGAATCTGGGGTGGCCAAGTACAAGGCAAATCACTCTGACCCCAGCTCCTCCATTTTTCAAAGCGAATAAAACTACTTTAGTTATACTCTGGGATCACACAATTTGTGTGGTGCCAGGGGTTCCAAACTGCTGTGCTGAGAGGACCAAACTCTCACAAACTCTAGGTTTGCAATGCAGGTGCTTTTGCCACCGAGCTATTCCAGGACATCTCATGTTTGTTTTTAAATTGAGTTAACATTGGCATGGAAGTACATAAAACTATTGATAAACCTTAGAGATATGGTATCAGCTCACACATCACCAAATCACATTTCCTTTATCTATTCCTCCATATGTTGATATTTTTGTTTCTTTATGCCAGCTACTGTGAGACTGTGGTCAACAAAGTTGTTCAGGCATTCAATGTTCCAAAGCAGTGTGACCTTTCCTTCATCAACGCCCCCAGCTTCCTACCCACTTCCCTAGTCTACCACCTTATAGGCACAAGCAATTCACTTCATATTGCTTGTTACAACAAAATTGCCAATGGAATTATCAAAAAATAGATTATAGGTTAATTTGTGGTAATTGTTAAATCTCACTGTGGTATTGTCTGAGAATTTACTGAGCTGACTGTTGCCATCTGTGTTATCATTTTCACTCACTGAGCTTGGTGGGCTTCTATACAATTTCCTGTCAAATCTGCTGTGCTCGTTGGGAGGATCCTCCCAGGATGGGAGATGCATGCTGAAAGTAGACTATAGGCAGAACATGATTGCCACTCAATGCCTCTTTTGCAAACCACAGCACCCAGAAGGAGAGAGAGAACAAAAGGGAATGCCCTGCCACAAAGGCAGGGTGGGATGAGGGGATGGGGCGTGGGAGGGATCAGTGGTAGTGGAGAATGGGCACTGGTGGAGGGATGAGTACTCGATCATTGTATAACTAAAACCCAAGCACAAAAATTTGTAAGTCTACAACTGTACCTCATGGTGTTTCACTAATAAAAATTAAAAAAAAATATTTAACAAAACCTATCTAGAATAAAACAATGGCTAGAGAGATAAAATAGTGGGTAGAGCATTTGCCTTGCAAGTTATTGACCCAGGTCCAATCCCCAGCCCTGCCAGGAGTTGTCCCTGGCTCCCCCAAAAAGCAAAACATGTACCCCCCCAAAAGAAAAAAATTATAAAATAAAATGTCATCCAGAGCCCTCAAAAAAAAATCTGCCGTGCTCTTACTAAACCATCAACACTGTGAAATTTGAAGGTGCCAGTGCGCCCCAGAAGCTGGGAAGCTGGGATGATCAAGCTGGCTTGGCAGCTGGATGAGGTTCAGTGGTAGAGCTGGGCAGTTTATATGCCAGAGGATGTCATGTGTTGGAACGTCTGGCAGGGAGGGAAATCTGCTCATCCTCATTCTGAGAAGACACAAGAAGTTCTCAGCTTGGTGACTGAGACAATACCGTTTCCTTAATGGGCCAACTGTTTTACACTTTCACCAACAATACACAAAGGTTCACCATTTTAGCAGTTGGTGTATTTTGTATACCTAAAACTTTATTTATTTTGGATGAGTCTCCAAAGTAATGGCAAGCAGAGCTAATACCGCTTCCAGCAATATTCTGTCAACTGGACCAGAAGGCTCAGTGCTTGAGAACAGTAATGCCATGCTGCTTGGGCCACCTGGGCCACCCTAACAGTACTTGGGGATAACTGGCGCTACATCTGGCAGTCCTAGGGAGGCATGTGGAATTAGTGTCTTATATGAGCTCCAGTCCTTTGAGCTATATATTGGCACCTATTTTTATTTGGGGGGGGGGGGTTATACCTGGTCTTGCACAGAACTTACTTCTGGCTCTTTGTTCAGAGGTCACTCCTGAACGTGTTTGGGGAGGATCATACGTGATGCTAGGGTCGCCCAGGGTTGGCTGCATGCAAGGTAAAGTCCTTAAACCTCTGTACTCTATGTCCAGCCCCTGGTTTATCTTTTTGACGATAATGATTCTAACTCATGTGAGGTATCATTGTGTTTGATTTGCATTTTCCTGACAATTAATAATGTTGAGCATCTTTTTTATACCTGTTGCTCATTTATGATGTGTCGCTCATTTATTTATTTTTCTTTGGAAAATGTCTATTCTGGCCCTTTTCTCATTTCTAATCAGGTTATTTGAATATATCTTTTGCCATTACTTTGAATTAATTTTTTTGTTTATTGTTTGAGATTTTGTTTTGTTTTGTTTTGGGGCCAAACCGATTATACTCAGGGCTTATTCCTGGCTCTACACATAGGGATTCCTCCTGGTGGGGGTTGGGGAACCATGTGAGGTGCCTGGGCTCAAACCTGGGTTGAATGTGTGCAAAGCAAGCGCCCACCCTGCTGTACTAGCATCCTGGCCATTGAATGAGTTCTTAATGCATTTTGGGTACCAGTGTCATCGAATACATGGTTTACAAATATTCTCCCATTGCTGGGTTGATATTTCACTTTTTGGGGGAAGTTTTTTTTTTTATTTTGATGCAATCTCATTTACTTTTCCTTTCGTTGTCTTTGCATTTGGAGTCACATAAAAAAAGAATCACCACTCAGACTAGTATAAAAAGCTCTTTCTCTGTGTTTTTTATAGTTTGTAATTTTAAATACTATGTTCAATACATTTTTTGTATTAATCTATTTTGAGTCAATTTACGCAAATAGAGCAAGGTATAGGCCCAATATTATTCTAGCCATGTGTGTCTCCAATTTTCCCAGTTTAATGAAGAAACTATCCTTTCCTCTGAGTATATTCCTGGTAACTTGCTGGAGATCAGTTGATTATATATGAATTAATTTATATTTGTTTGGGGGCCACACCCAGCAGTGTTTAGGGACTACTTCTGAATCTGTGCTCAGGGGACTATAATGTTACTGGGAACTGAACAAGGCTTGGCCAAATACAGGGAAAGCATATTACTTCCTGTAGCATCTCTTTAGCCCTTGAATTCATTTCTGGACTTTCTATTTTGTTGCACTGGTGTATATGTCTGCTTTTATGCTGTTTTTGTAACACTTATAGCACTCTTTTGATAAATGCAGTTTTGTAATATATTTTCAAGCCAGAAAGTGTGAAATCTTTAACTGTGTTCTGCTTAGGACTATTCTGGCTACTTAGGCTCTTCTTTAGTTTAATATGAATTAAAGGATCACTTGTTCTAATTCTGTAAAGATCACCATTGGGATTTTCACTGAGATAGCACTGAATCTTCAGATTACTTTCTTGGCAGTATTATAATTGTCCTAATAGATAAATGCAGGTTATCTTTCTGTCCATCTGTCTTCTTTTATTTCTTCCATCAATATTTTATAATTCGTAGTGTACAGGTCTTTCACCTCTTGGGTTAAGTTTATTCTTAAACATGTTATTTTGTTATTACTATGGTAAATGTGACTTCTTAATTTTCTTTTTAAATAGTTCACTATAATATTAAAAATAGTCTAGGGATTTCTCTTCATCTGCTAATACCATTAAGTCCATTTCCAGTATTTGGCGCAATGCCCAACGCAACAGCAAGCACTAAATTAAAACAAAAGATCTTGGACAGGAGGAAATTCTGATACTAGCAAGTATTATATGAAATGGCCTCTTTCTATCTTTATAGTTGTGAGAATGGACTAAAAGTACCTACCTGATTTATCAATGATGGCATCAATCTCTTCAATTACATCAAAATAGGCTTCATTGTTGGTGTATTTCACACCAGTCCGTCGCCAGGGCACCACGGACAGCTGCCCCGTGGGAAGTTGGTCACCCACATTGGTACTTCCTAAAATACAGAATACATACAATTAACAAATAGACTCCCACTATTGGATGCAACCAATTATCTATACAATATTCTCATTATTTACAGTCAAAGAATCTGGGGAAAAAATGAAGAGTTTTTCCAACTTTTTTTTTTTAACACAGTCGATTAGAAGAACCTGTTTATTACCTAATCTGTTTCCTCAAGGAGTCTAAAGGTTAAAAATGTTACCTGAGATACAGATATCATAGTTTGGTTTTGAAAGTAACCTGAACTTCGGTCTCTCAAATTTCACAATAGTTTGCAGTTTAAATAATGTATTGATGCTTTCAGTGGAGGTGGGAATCTACATACTGATAGATTTTCAAAGGGAAAATAGCGTTCTAGTTTGAAATAGATTATAGGTACATTTAAGTATTAAAATGTATACACAATTAGAATCGTTCTCACATCATTACCAAAAGTGAGAAGAAACACAAATTATATTTCCTCTTGTCTGTAAGAGTTGTAAATCAATTATTCAACTTATTCCACCTACACCTCAACAGACATCAAAACCATATTTTTATAACTCCAAAGTTTATAATTCCAAAGTTCTGTAAGTTCTGAAATATCACACCTAATTAAAAAACCATTTCCTTGTACAGTTACCTGGTTATTTTTTTTAATTTAAAGAATCATTAAACATACACATATATTCAGTCACTGTCACTGTCCTCCCGTTGTTCATCGATTTGCTCGAGTGGGCCCAGTAACATCTCCATTGTAGACTTTGTTGTTACTGTGTTTGGCATATCGAATATGTCACGGGTAACTTGCCAGGCTCTGCCATGCGGGCGAGATACTCTCGGTAGCTTGCCGGGCTCTCTGAGAGGGGCGGAGGAATCGAACTCGAGTTGGCCATGTTGGCTGCGTGCAAGGCAAATGCCCTACCACTGTGCTATCACTCCAGCCCATATATTCAGTATATTTATAAAACATTTATTTTCCAAAAGCAATTTTAAGATACACATTGTAGGGGATATTTAGGTAAAAATTCATCATGAATGATTTTGGCAATACTAAAACTTTGAAGGTTAAAAATGAACAAAGATTATTGAACAAAACAACAGATATGTTTTTCTAAAACAAGACACTATGTATTAAAACATGTCTTCAAGTGGCTGGGGCCCAGGCAGCTGAACAGAAACAATTCAGAGAGTGCCCCCCTGGCACCAATGCAACAGCAAAGCCACAGCAAAACAGTATTGAGTCAAGAAGTTTCCTGCCTCATGAGAATAGACAGTGGAGCATACTGCCACAAGCTTGAGGAGAGCTTCAACCCAAAAACACAGCAAAAGACAGGTTCATCGCTGAGGAGCGCTTTCTCTGCATAGGAAAAGGGGAAAGCAGAGAATGAAAGCTCAAAGTCAGTACAGGACAAAAACCTCCAACCTAAGGTGGGAGGGGCTGGAACATGAAGGTTTTAGAGAACTTCAGATTTATCCCAGCACTTGCTGGGTTGAAACCAGGTTTGGGTCTGCTGAGCCAGGAAATGGGCTACTGCTCTTGGCGCCAGTTAGGAGCACCTATTCCTGCATTGAGCTCTGCCCAACAGGTCTGTAGCCTTGGCCCTGCCCTAGGATCTCAGTTGAAGTACTTAAAGAAGAGGGACGTTGGGGAAAGGGGGGGAATCTGGAGCTATTCCTTGCTGTGTGGTCAGGAGTAAGCCTGCCAGAGTGCTCAAAATTTGAACCAGGTCAGTGGGATACAAGGCAAAATAAATGCCTTACTCTCTGTACTCTATCTGGTCCAGAATACTTTCTGACAAGTTTGTCAGATACCTCAGAACTAAAGGAATCTTCTCCAATGTGAGTTCTACAAACTTTATTGCCAATCTAAGATGGTCAGAAATTTAGTTTGCGCCTGCACCCACCACATCAGAAAAAGACTGGGATGGGGCCAGAGTGATAGTACAGTGGGTAAGGCCTCGTATATGGATTTAAATCATGGCACCTCATATGGTTCCCTGAGCACTGTCAGGAGTAATTCCATGAGTACTTCTGCAAAGTCAGAAGTAGTCCAGGAATATTGCTAGGTGTGACCCAAAAACAACCAAACAAACTAAAAAAAAAAAACAGTTTAAAAGGTTGTAAAACAATCATACAGGTGAATTGTAGACTTAAAAAGCAGGGTTGGTTACCTATATCAGGCCAAATAACATTGGAGCTTAAGAAAGCAATAAGAAATAGGAAGGACATTACATCAAAGGATCAAAAGATCCAAAGGCCAGGAGACAGAACAGCAACTTGGCACGCGCCCTACAGATTCAATCTCCAGCACTACATGCTTCCCAAGCATCACCAGATGTAACTCTAGAAGCTCCAAACAGCACCAGTTGTGCCCTAAAATGCCCCAAGCACCACTGGGGTGGCCGTGGCATCACAGTAAACAAGCACCACTGTATCCCTGGACGCCAACTTTATATTGTAGCCTGGTTGGCCAAGTATCACTGGGACTGGCACCTGAGTCTCTGAGCATCACTCGGAAGGTTCTCCTCCCCACAAAAGAGGATTTAACTCTTAATAATATATATTGATCACTCTGTATAAGACCCAAAGGCTGAAAGTACGTAAAGGAACAAACATGATAGCTTTTCAGTACCTGTCTTGCAAACCATAATGCCCAAAAGGAGAGAGAGAGAGAGAGAGAGAGAGAGAGAGAGAGAGAGAGAGAGAGAGACAGAGACAGAGACAGAGACAGAGAGACAGAGAGAGTACCTGTCATAGATGCAGGTGGAGGAGGGGGTAGTGGGAGGGAAATGGGGGACATTGATGGTGGGAAGTGTATACTGGTAAAGGGATAGGTGTTGGAACACTGTATGACTGAAACCAATCATCACCAACTTTGTAACCATGTATCAAAAAAAATTATATTATATACATATATACATATATATGCACCAAATAAAAGGACAGTAAAGTTTATAAAGCAACTAACAGATCTAAGGAGAGACGTTAATGGAAACAGAACTACAGTTAAATACTTTAATGCCACACTCTCATCAATGGACAAATCAATCAGATATAATACCAACAAGGAAATAAGAGTCCTAAATGAGGACCTTATACGAACGGGATTAATACACATGCAGGGGACTCTCACCCCCCAAAGTTGAATACATATTATCTTTATGCACATATAACAATGCCAAGGATAGACTATATGTTAGGGTTTGGAGTGCTCACAAAGTTACAAAAATAATAATCATATCAACTACCTTTACAAACCAAAATGTAATGAAGATCACGATCACGACCACCCTGTTGTTCGTCGATTGCCTCGAGCAGGTGCCAGTAACGTCTTCTTCGTCCTAGCCCTGAGATTTTTTTTTTTAAAGTGCCATATTCAAGGCTTTTTCAGGGTTAGGAGAATGAGACCCATCATTGTTACTGGTATTTGGCATATTGGGTATACCACGGGGAGTTTGCCAGACTCTGCCGTGTGGGCATGTTACATTTGGTAGCCTGCCAGTTTGACCGAATTAGGAATGAGATGATAAGATGTCGCGCGGCCGTAATGAAGATAAAAAACTTAAAAGAAAGTCATGGAAAACTCTAACATTTAGAAACTGAACAACATACTGTTAAATAACCACTGGGTCAAAGAGAAAATCAAAGATGAATTTAAAAGATTCTTTGGAAAGAAGAACCTATGGGACACATTAAATAGAAGGTTCTTTTTTCTCTAAGGGGAAAAGTCATACTAATACACACATATCAAGGAATGAGAAAATCCAAATAAATAACCTAACCTCACAACTCAAAAAACCAGAAAAAGAATGAAAAGAATACAGAAATAAGTAAACTGAAGAAAATAATAAAAATTTGAGCAAATAAAAACATACTGGACGGGATGTAAAATAGAAGGTTACCAATCTCAATTAAGAAAATATTAACACACAAGGCTCAACTTGTAACAACGTGGTAGTAATCTCTTATATAAGGGCTTATGGACTCCAGGGTGAGAAACAAAAATATTCACACATTTTCTTCTAAGGAAACCTTTTCTGATCGTTTTTAGAGAATTATTCATAACAAGTAATATAAAATAAGTTATTTAGAACCCATTATTGGGGCAAGCTTGGGTGGTGATTGGGAAAATTGGAAATAATGGTAGTGGGAAGGTGCAATAGTGGTGGGATTGGTGCTGGAATATTAACGGAAATAAATAATCATGAACAACTTTTTTAAAAGAAGGAAAAAAATTAAAGAAAAGAAAGGATTGAGCAAATGTCAAAATATGGAAATTAATAATACATAATACCATACAAAGGTCAATGAAAATAGGAGCTGATTTTTCAAAAGAATGTACAAGATTAACAACTCTTTAGCTGAAATACTCATGAGGAAAAGACAAAACTTAAATTAATTAGATCACAGATAAAAGGGGAGAATTACAACAGTTAGCTGAGAAATACAAAAGACCAAAAAAAGTTGCCATGACACTAAGCAAGAGAATCTAGAAGAAATGGAAGCATTTTTAGAATTATATAACCTCTCAAGAAAGAATCAGGAAGAGACAGAAAAACTCAACAGGGAAATCATGAATAAGTAAACCGAAACAATAATGAAAAATCTTCCCTAAAATAAAATACCAGGCTCTGACAGGTTTAACAGTGAGTCCCTCCAAATTTTCAAAGAAAGCATCAAATTCTTTTAAAAATATCAAAGAAACAGGAATACTTCCTAACAGCTTTTGTTAGTCAACATTACTCTAGTATCAAAAATAGAGATATTACTTAAAAAAGAAAATCACAGCTGATATACCTAATGCATATTGATGCAAATATCTTCAACAAAATATTAGTGAACTAAACCCAACAATATAGCAAAAGGATCATAAAACCATTGTGTAGTCAAAAAATGAATATGAAACCACAGTGCTCTCTTGTTGCCTACTTTCTGTGGTCTTGGGCCACTTCCCCCAGCCTGCACGGCCAATGGCAATGGGCCGATGAAGGAGGAAATGAGGGCCAAGCT